AAAGGAGATATGTGCAAGTGGAAAGATGGGGTGTGCTCGTTAGTTGGGTCATAAGAAACAATGTAAAAGTGGATATAGCTCCTTTTGAGAAAGTTGAGAAGCGGGATTTGACATTAAATCAAAAGGAGCTAAACGCCAAAATATGCTAACTCATGAGCCGCGGGCATGGCAAGAGAGCGTTGTGGACAGGGCTCATGAGTTACAGCGCCCCGACGATGATCCCCGGCTCGTGCGTGGTCTCCTTCATTGCCGCTGACGTCACTGGCGCTTTATATTCCCCATTCATTCTTATGGCCCGGCCACTAACGAGCACACCCCATCTTTCCACTTCCACATATCTCCTTTTCGCATAAATACGTCCAATTGTCATTACTTTTAATCTAGGTTACCGACAGAGGCCGTTTTAGCTGATTTTCGGAACAAACAGGAAACCACGGAAAAGTGCATTGGAAAAATGAGTTGCAGCTCATTACCTCAACAGCAATGCGAAAAAGTGTGTCAATAACTCCAGTCATGGGGTAAATCAAAAACCGAATGCCAGAACGGAAACATTGAAATCGTTTAGAAATTTAATGGAATAAAATTACACTTTATTTTCCTGAAATCGCGATATTTTTACATCATTTGGTCTATATATGCCGATTTTTTAAAGTTTTCAACAAAACAAGTTCCATGTGTGAGAAATTTAGGCAATTTGCAATGCAAACAAAATTGGAACTTATTTCAAATCCGTTGCAATGAATTTCACCACGAGAAGCCCCTTCAATCAGTGAATAGACAACATGCGCAACACTCCAACACAATAGCAACGACTTAGCATTTATTTTCAATTAATAGCAATCTGCGCTACTTGGATAGTAAGATTTGAGATACATAGAGATGATACAGGCAAAAACAATATAAATCCACAGACCGTGAAACTCCAAAGCCACGTTACTCGTTTGCGAAGTTTAAAAATCTCCCACGCTTCCGCACAAAATGCCGGCGAACAGGAGCTGAGGTACCATTTTTGTCACGTCCGTCATCTTGGATTATAGAACTTTGACTTAAAAACATGATACCTAAAATCTAAACTCAGATTTGGATTCACTGTTAAAAATCGATTCCGTTCCATATTTATCATTCGATAGCACATCATGAAGGGGAGAGGCTAAACATGAGCATACTGAATATAACCTACCAGTGAAATTTTTCGGAAGGAGACGATATTTAACTCTCTATAGGCGCTATCAGATTCCGAGAAGCTGGCGGCATACATAAATGGGTTGAATTATGTGAAGATAAACTTATTTTCCTTCAAATTCTGCTGACCCACTCCCCCGTAAATACTCATGTTACCATGTTGGACTAATATGTTAGAATCAGTCTGTCTACGTCCAGTCTCTTCATTTCATTATTTGCTAACGTATGATCTAGATTCATAGCATGGGATCAATTTATAAAGAGGAATCCAAATTTGAGTTTAGATTTGGATATCATGCGTTTTGAGTCACGTTTTTCCAAATTCCAAAATTGAATATGGCGGACGTGGTCTAAAGTGCTATCGCGGCTCCTGTTCGATTGATTTTTGTGAAACTCAGTATTGGAGGTTGTTTTTCGTCGGAAAACTCGACACGACAGACACAGCGGGCGTGATCTAAAATGCTATCTTTGTGCCACCGAAATCATTCAACCTTGCAATAGGGGTATGTCGTATTCATTCTCTGTTCATTTCCAAAATTAATTAACTCTCAGCTCATATAGACCTTGATATGGACTTGCTTTTCAACACGCGTCTGTGTTAAAACTGTATATTTAAATTTGTAGGAGAAATTGCAGGGCTGTTCTTAAAAATTTATCAAACACTGTTCTTCTTTTTTTTCTAAGACGATCTATAATGAAAAATCTAGTTTCCTGTTCCTATTAATTTGAACATCTTGCTCATGGAAAATTACTAATTAAATCAAAAGGAAATCAAAAGAGGAATTTTGCAACATGACAGGCTTGAAACACTGCAAGGGTTGTGCTATTTTTGCATTATTAACAACTAAATCAATATTAAACTTCCACTGAAATTCTCCCCCCCCCTCCCCAAAAAAGTACAAAAAGAATTGTTTTTCCCCATTTTTTGACGAAAATGAACAGCATGTGAGTTAATGTCGTTTGCGATTAATAATGCTCAAAGTTGCACTATATCTCACTGTCTTAGAAATGCTCAGGCTCACGCACCCTTGTTTCAAATAAAGTTTTATTTAAGTTCTTTCCGTCCTGATCCCTTTAAGTGATAAGAATTGGAATTCATAGTTCAATGGGCATCACTGTTGAGCCTTTGGTGGTTGACATTTCGAGGCCTCTCTCCCCCTCCTCAAAAACAATAGGTAAGAAATGAGGAAGATAAAATCCCATGAAAAGGTAATAGCTTATTCCGAAGAGAGGGTGTCAAAATTTGGCAGCTGAGCATTCTGCAGGTTCCGTAAAAAATTACTGTTTTTTTCTTATAACTTGGACAAAAAGGAAATCAGAGGCTTCAGACCTCACGAGCCTCCCCTTCATCCGTCGGACAGCCCTGACTCCACAGTTACACAATTTGTCAACCCCCTCTACACCCCCTCCACCCAGTGGCGTGGCGTGATATGCGATATATCGATTGTTATGCCATTTGAACATATGGTAAAGAATCGATAAACAGGGTGTTCGCAGCGAACACCTTAATAATCGATTCTTTATCATAGGTTTAAATGGCATAACAATCGATATATCGCAATTCACGCCACGCCACTACCTCCACCCCTATCTGTTGAGGAGCCTCTCAAAACCCATTCATTAATTTCAGTGTCGACACGATCGCTCACTCAATATCGATGATGCCGCCTCCTTGAAAAAAATCGCCAAATTTTCCTTACTTCGGGCCTTCGAAATGCCGAGATTCCCTGTCGATTTTGACGATTCATCGCACTCATCTGCTCTTGACGGCCGTTATACAAATGAGATGAAGCGATTGATGGAGATGTTCTCCTCTTAGGTAGCCCTCTTAGTAGCCTCTCCGTCTCGGTAGGTGTTGAAGCGTGTAGGCGGATAAATGGGTGCATATAATGCTGCCCCTCACACGTAAGGACGTATCTCAATTTCCACATGAGCCCTGGTTTACGTATTAACCTATGCTTTCTGGGGTTCGTGCGGAAATCTAGGTACGGTCTTATGTCGGAGGAGCGACGATAATTTTTCCTACGTCGGAGCAACGAGGATTTTCTCTAAGGGTGCTAAAACACCAATCCATGGTGGTTATCGAGGCGCCTTGAACACCCACTGATACCGGTTGTCCGATCCCTATGAATGCGCACAGGAAAAAAAAAACACATTGGATCTAGAGTCCAGACTCTTGAAAACATTGACAAGAAAAAATACTCTTGATTCAATCGGATTTTTTCTTGAATCAAAACGAAATCCGCTTAAATTAAGAGGCTTGGTTCTTGATTTAAGCTAGATTCTGTTTGAATCAAGAGTACTTTTTCTTGTTGATTTTTTTAAGAGTCTGGACTCCATAGATCCAATGTGTTTTTTTTCGCAGTGCGCTCGCGTATTCAGCTTGAAGTTCATGTCGGTTTCAAAATGGAACGCTTAGAGTTCCCTTTAGGATTAGGATTACGTCGCGTAAAGGCCTGGAGACGAACTTCCATTCCAAATACATAAATTCACGAATTAGTCAGAAAACTACGTACCAGGAAATTCGTTTTCGATCTGGTGCTTACGCTTTTTTGAGAATCGCCAATTCAATCATTATATTTTGGTGGAAAATACGAGTAAATTGAAGGGATACATGACGTGGATTTCGCCCTCTCCAGAGGATTGCTGAATATTTCCCGACATTCAACGAACAGATTTCAGTTCGACGTGTTCGACGCTTCTGATTCCGTTGCTTCTGAGCTCTGATCTGTATACTTAATAACGAAATAAAAAAAAATCAGTAACAAATGAAAGAAGAGGATAAGCCAACATTTAAAAATTTCAATACCGTAGAAATGCGGTCCCAAAACTAAAGAAAAACTAATTTTTGGATCTAGTAGCTCTCTATTATCTATACGATGATTGGGACCGGAGGTATCGCGGATAATCGAAACTCGCGGATAAACGAAATTCGCGGATAATCGAAATTCGCGGATAATCGAAATTCACGGATAATCGAAATTCGCGGATAATCGAAATTCGCGGATAAACAGTAGGGGTACATTTTCCTTACCTGAGAAAACAACACATTTAGACATTTGGTAACTCTCTTAATAGTCCCTTCACGTGGGAATATATATAAAATAATTAAATGGTTATAGAAAATATTGGATAGCAACAGCCCTGCACACGTCGGAGCGGCCAAACGTGTACACATTTTACAGGGAATTCCCAATTTTATAAAAGTTTGATCTCAAACTTGTTTGCAATCGGTCGCTCGAAATTTAAAAAAAAAAGTTTCTCGAAGAATCGAAGATAATATAGAAGCGCAGATAATAGAGATTCTATTATATGCATTCATTATGGTAAAATTAATTGAACGTTGAAAACTTTAAATGATATTTCGGCTGTCATATAATCGTGTCAGTCTTTCCACTAGAGTAAAATTCGTGAGAACAATCCTGTTTAATTGAGAATTTTTTAAAGTAACTCGTCCAGAAATGGGTTTTCTGTCGGCTGTATTGTATACAGTATCCTCCCCATTCTAATAAAATCATTTTCAAGACGTTCGATGGACGGGGTGAGAAAGGGAAGTAAGAAGGGTAAGAAGCGGTTTTGGGGAGCGCGCAGCGTCCCGGGGGTTGGGCCGCGTAGCGGCCAAGGGGCGGACCCCCTAAGGGCTGAATAAAATTCGAATCAGCACCATGTGTGTGAAGGAGCGTCAATTTGAAATTCCCGCGACTATTAAGCCAAAAGGGTGTAGTGCTGCCGTCTTGTGGACATATTCAGAAGCAGTCGTATGTCGCTTCGAAAGCTCTCCGTCAGAGAGCAGCACTTAAAACAGATGATTGGTGTTCGCAAGAATCTCACCGTTCACCGTTGAGACTCATGAAACAGCATATTTTGTTTGAGCGTGCTTATCGCTGTCTATATTTTGTGTCAATTTTCCAATAAATTCCTTTCAAGATGTGAGTATTATAGATTTTCTTCGTATCCTATATCATTTTTAACTCTTCCTTAATGGGTACATTTCAGCTTTAACACGTAATAATCACTCTAGTCTCTTAGTTTTGCCGTTAAACTCCTTTGTTTACCTTGTTGAAGCTTGGACCAAATCTACCTTCTATTAACTGATAACTCCTTAACTATTATCACAGGCTTCATCAGAATTACTTTTCATTTCTTTTTAGTATGTTTTGCCTCTGCTGTCCATTATCTACTAAGCGTACTCTTGATTTTCCGCAACACAAAACAAGATTCTAACCTCATCTAGCCCCCTTATCGCCCGTTGCGTCTGGTCTGATAAAGTTATTTTTGTTGTACTAACAGGCTCCCACTATGCTGCTATGCTGCAAGTAGCCGCAAATTAACATCCCTCAGATTTAGGTGATTTGATGGGCGCTATATTTTGAGTCAGAACGGCACGCGATACATCGCATCGATTGGTTCCATTTTTTCAGCTACTTACTTGTCATTTTTCTCCAATGTTGAGATCGCAATTCTGTTGTCAGGAGACTAAAGCACTCACTCACCAATTTTAACAAAGAAATTCACCGTTAAAAAGGTTTCGAGTTGCAGTTGCACATTCGAGTGCAGTTTCGATACCTACCAGTATCGAATGCGATGTTTTCTCTCTGAAAAAACCACACCTTTATCACGTTAGATTTCTGTGTTAAAATTGGTAAGTGAGTACTTTAGTCTCCTGACAACAGAATTGCGATCGCAAATTTGGAGAAAAATAACGAGTAGCTGAAAAATGGAACCAATTGATGCGATATATCGCATGCCATTCGGACACGAAATATGGCGTCCATCGAATTACCTCAATGCACAATTCAGATGTATGGAAGACTCATCATCACTCATCCCTGCAGTGCAGCTTATCAGAGTTCATTTCATACATATTAGCTGCCTGATTGTTGAAATTTTGTATTTGCCCAGTAGACATGGATGACATAGGTTAAAAAGAGGAGTGTGATTGGTTGGCTATGACTTGTTGCTGCTTTATCATGCCTTTGTCAGGTGGAATTGACGACATACTGTCAGAAACTTAAGAGGTGCCTTTAGCTTGTCGTGAGTTCCACCGGACGTAGGGGCGACAGAGCAGTGATAAGACATAGCGGACCAATAACGCTCCGCCTTTTAATCTTTGTCATCTATGTCTACTCGACAAACACAAAATTTCAACAATCAGACTGCTGAATAGAATCCATATTGACTAAGTTTACGCACTGTTATACTGTGATAAAAGATCATCTGCCGTCATCGTAGCATGGAGAAAATCGATGGTGAAATTACCAGACCTTATTTCTTGGTCTTCGACGTTCCAGACTTCCTCTGACAATTTATTTTTTAAATGAAAGACTAATCAACGTCAATTCTTGAAAATCTCCGTGATTTTTATTCTCTGTGGAAAGAAATCTCTGTGAAAAATTTAAGGAATGATATCAAGTTCTTTTCCTTCAAAAAATCAAATGAGAGTTGAGATTTTTAAACACCGCAATCAAGATTCGTAGTCTGGTAGTTTCACCGTCAAAATTAAATTCACGTCTATGTCTACTCAATATCCTTTTCTCGGCAATTCAATTTGTGGATGATTTAATTTTTTTTCTCCTAAGATAATGATGACGTATTGCTATCTGTCCACAGGATGACCATTGAGAGTGAAGGGGTGACCCCCACCTACATGAAGTTAGCCCAGATCAAATTTTGTTTAGCCTTGCCTGAGTACGCAAATGACAAAGCATTGAAAGAGCAGCTCTTGCAAGGAATCAAAGAAAACAATATGACTCCATACTACAAGGAGGTGTGTGAGGAATTTGGTTGGCCGGTAGACAACAGGTACGTTAAATTTACCACAAATTTCTTAAAATAATTATATGGCTTGACTTTCAATACATGCCACAAAGATCAAGCCAGAGAGTTTTCAGTTCACCGATAGAGTACATAGAGTTATAATGTAAATGGGAGAGCTGGTGCCATGTTCTGCTCAATGAGTTCCGAGCCTGTGTGCGGATCCCTTTTTTTTTATACATATTCGATCCAAAATGGCAGTGTGGAATACTTAGTAATTCCATAGCCGGGTGTATCGCCAACAATGGATTATGTATCAGAAAAGTGCCTCGGCGCCGCACAGGAGTCTCTGAAATTGGGATCTAGAAATCGCTTTAAAGTGGCGCCAGCTATCTCATTTTCATTACGACTTTATGTACTCTATGAGTTCACCATTGACAGGTATGAATTCACGTTGTTGAAAGCATTGAATGAAGATCTATTTTTCCACTATTTTCGTCCAATGGACTGAAACTTACATCAGATAAGTTGGCAGCAGTTGTTTACTTTTGACTGTCACGTGCAGAGGATCTATTCATGTTTCTGCGCATGGTGGCAGCCTTACCTGCAGTCAATCCTTGATGGCTGTGTGATGACTGCAAAGTAGTTGCTTTCAAACGGAACTTTGACTGACAACTTATCTGACACGAGTTCCAATTTTCGGGTCACACGATTTGATGTATTATTGCTGTTCGATGGCTCCTATATAACAAGATCTGCAAACTCATTTGATTTACTGTGAGGTGGTGAAATGCTTAAGAGGTTCTTACTGTCAAAATTTCTCTCGTTTGATGAGACTCAAATAAATTTTTGATTTTTTTTATTACAAAAACTTTCAGATTTAACCTCTTAAATACTCAGAATCGGACTTGAGGTTCTGATTTTTTATTCATTGGTTGTCAAGTATTCAATGCCTAATATTCGATACCTATAAGTATTGAATATTGCTAGAATTGTTGGAGTCAAAGCAGTCGGTTCCGAGTAAACGATTACAATAGGTAAATTTTGTTTCCTGACTGGCTACCACTAAGTTACAGAAAATCATCTCTTGATTCTGAAAGTCGTAGGTCACTAAAGTTTATCTCTTCTGCCGCAAGTATACTGAGCGGAAGGATGAAGAATCTTTTCATCTGCAGGTCAACAATGCCGAAATGCATTCGCATTGCCATTGATTTTGATTGAATGTTAATAATACCGTCTGAATAGAGTTGTTCGGCAAACAGGGTTCCACATCAATGACATATATTATTATATGGCTGCATCAATCCATAGCCATGAAAAGATTTTGCAAAATGGAAAATAGTCCTTGATCTCCTGTTAATTGAATATTTTCTTTCAGTCTTGTTGAACAAATGACTGCAGCTAATGCCAAAAAAATGGAAGAGTTGGAAAAGGAACACGATAAAAATTTGATGGATGAAGAGGACCAAGTGAGCGGAATTTGGCAAGCAAAGCTGGACTATCTTTGCTCAATTGGTGACAAGAAGGCTGCCACAGCACTAGCGGAATCCAAACTGGAAGACGCAACCGTCCCAAAGAGCCATCGAATAGAAGCAGTTTTCACACTATTCCGTATCTCATATTTTCACAATTGCAACATTAAAGGCATGAAGGTAGCGATAGAAAAAGCATCAGAACTAATTGAGGGTATTAGCGGTGGTGACTGGAGTGCCCGTAACAAACTCAAAGCGTATGAAGGTATGTACACTCACATCTTAGCCAGTCAAATATTTTCAGTCATTGAAGAAGTGTACCTAATTCTGATCCTTTGCACCATGAGCAAATTAAAGAGGCCAGAAAGAAAATGAGTCCGTTAAGATCTGTACTTTTCTCTTTTTAAATAGGGACTGTGGTATACCTTTTTTTCAAGGAGCCTGTGGATTCTGATCAAGTACTAGGATCAGTGGCTTCTTTTATGATTGGGTAGAAGCCAGAATAAGATGAATTCAATGTAAGTCTAATTCAAAATAGCTTTGTTGCTATAGTGATCAACAATGACAGCCGGCTCCTTAACGCTTGATTTGTGTAGTCGGTATCACACTTTATCATTTTTATTGTGCTTGCAGGCTGTATTTCTCATTTGCTAGCAATCAGGTCTGCCCAGAGAGAGCGAGAGATGTAAAAAATCTAACCCGCAAAATGTTGCAAATCTGTCTCGTTTATGATTTTAATTGCTTTAAGCTTTCTTTTTTTTTTGTAATACCTACGAAGAAATAAAACGGAAACAACTGATTAAAATTACTTACACATGAAAAAAATTAGTGAGACTGTTCGTATATTTAGGTTTGACTTTCTTGCATCCCACTTTGGGCAAACCTGATCACCAGCAATGATTAAAAACTGCTGGGAAATGCGGAAACTTTGAAAAAGCCCTAAATGGACTAAAACGTTTTGATTTATCCTTTAAGAAAATGAAGCATATTCTCAGATTTTTAAGCGTCGCAATAAAGAATCACATGTTCCAAATTCAACCATTAATATCCTCCTCCCCATCACTGTTGTATTTGACTTTTGAAAAAAATGAGATTCTCTCCCCAAATTCTGATCTAATCTCATTATCTGATGCATGTTTCAGGTGTTTGGAGCCTAGCGATCAGGGACTTCTCAAAAGCAGCCAGCCTATTCGTTGATGTTGTGCCAACATTTGAGTCTTACGAATTGGCCGACTTTGGTACCATCATCCGATACACAGTTCTAGCATGCATGATCGCCCTTCCACGGCAAGAGCTGAAGAAGAAATTGATGCACCATGGTGTAATGGCTCAAGCTCTTCACCAGCAGTATCAAGATCTCAAAGAGTACTTCTCCTCGTTTTATGATGGCCGCTATTCTGATTTCCTTATCTGCCTAGCTCGAGTTGAGCTGGAGATGAAGCGTGACCCACTGCTGTTCCCGCATGTCCGCCATTATATCCAAGAAATGAGGTAAGATTTGTTGTGCATACACCAGAGTACCAATTCCCTGCATAGGGAGAATACGGACATGTTGGTAATTTTGGAGATTAAAGATTAGGTTATAGAGCTCTCAGGACCCAGAAGGGCAGCCAACCCTTGAATTCAATTTATCCAGATTTTTATATTATTGCAATTATTCCAATTATGGAAGTCTGTCTTAGATTTTGCCTTTTTTCCTTATTTTCCTTAGTTTCGCGACAAGACGCTCTTTCAAAAACATCGTTCACCATTTTGGATTGACATCTGAAAGTGTAGAATGTCAGCGAATCTTGCAAGTGCTTTTCTTGTGGGAAGATTGGCTCTTTTGGACCCTAAGAGCTCCATGTTTCATCATGTCCATTTTCTCCCTATCTAGGCGCTCTATCTTACATGAGAGAAAAGTTAGATCTGAAGTCTTTAGGTTCATATCAACTCTTGGACCCTTCAATTCCACAGAATTTAATATCTGTTTTTCTTGCCAACCAAGTTGATGGTCCTGATTTAAAGTATTTGACAGTTGACTAACTCATACGCACTTGCAAAAGCAAATAGTTTTTCAGTTGTTCTCGATTACAAAGAATTTTTTGAAGTTGGAAGTTAGGAAGGCGGTGAGTTTCCTTTACGAGCAAAGAGGTATCCTCAATGTATAAATTCTGAATTTATAGGAGTCTAAAATTTAGTTACCACCACATTAAAAAACGGAAACTCCTGAGAATGCCGAACTTCAGGATGTCCTTGATTTGCAAAATTTTTGCATGTTACAGCGGAAATAATTAATAAGTTAATGGGTTAAATCGCAAGTAATTAGTTGAGTCTTCATTAAATCAACAGAAAAATCTAACTCTCCTGACATTTTTACAGTAGCATGTAATTTATCTACTCTAATACTATTTTTTCCTTCCACAGATTGAGAGCATACAAACAAATCCTGGCAGCATATCGATCCCTGAGTTTAGACTACATGGCAAAGTCGTTTGGTGTGTCAACTAACTTTATTGAAGATGAAGTTGCCAAGTTTGCAGCTGCGGGTAGGTTACAGTGCAAAATTGACTCCGTCGCTGGAGCAGTAGTAACTAGTAATTACATTAGTGATGCCCCTGAAGTAAGTTTAGATAGGAATATCTTATACCAGCAGACAGTCAAGAAAGGTGATATTTTACTAAATCGTCTCAAGAAACTTGCTAGGGTTATGGATTTCTAAGTTTTTTGTAAATATGCTGATCCTTTTTATTTTGTATTAGAAAATCAATTGTTCACAATTACTAATAAGAAATGTGCAGAACCAGAATGTATATTCAAAATTCTTTGAAGAGCTTAAAATGAATACTGCCTTTTTAACGCTTTGAACTATCTTTGTAAGACCCAAAAGATCTTTGGTCCCCAAAAATCTTACCTGTGCAAAAAGTGTTTGGTGGCACTTTACCCTTTCAGATATGATCTGATTGACAACTTATAAGCCATCCAGTCAAAAATACCGTACTGATTACAATTGTGAAACAAGCAAAAGTTCAACATTCTGGAGAATTTTTTATTGGATTTCATCAAGTTGTCCAATCATTGAACTGTTTCCGGTGAGCGTTGCTCCATTTTGCTGAAAGCTCTGAAAGCACCTCTTTGTTTGAAAAGACATGTGATGGAACACCACCAGCCGTAAAGGTTTATTTATATCTCACCGGTCACGCTAGAATGACCCTTTATGATTTACAGCTGACCAAAGATCCTTTTTTCCCTCAATTACTCGAATAAGGCAGCTATTCAGCAAAAATCTTGATATTCATTCAGCGAAAGATAATCCTGTAACAAAACTTAGAACAGCCTAATAGTAAATTCTAAGGTTTTGAGTATGCCAAGTCATCAATTTTTCTGCCAACATTTGAATTGTTATTTTTCATGGCTTTTTTAGGAATATTTTCGTCCATCAAATAACAGTTCTCTTCTCGTTTCTAACAATGAAAGTCTCGTCAGGTTTTTTCTCCTGCATTTTTTGTACAATTTCAACTAATATTTTTTTAAATTTCTAATTGTTTGATTCAAATGAGGCAAATTAACTTTACTTAAATAACGATCAACAAGAGAAAGTTCATGGGCGATCGTCAATGTTTCTTTTAATGTTAATTTTGTAAACATATTATGTACTTTTGTAACAGTGTACTCTCAAATTTTGATTCAAAATTAGTATACCCATGAAAATCTAAGCGATTTCATGATAGGAGAAAGAAAAAAAATGAATCTTATATCATGTTATACAAAGCGATATCAACTTGAATACCTTTTTTACAGCATCTTTTCAGTTATTTAATCCTCTAGTGTTGATTATGTATCTCACAGGCTCAACAGCCACAAGCATTGATTTTGCATGAAATCACTCGTCTTTCTTAAAAATCTGTTTTACATGTTCTTTCACATCGAGTATATTACTCAGAATCGGAAAAGTCAGTCTGCTCTCATTTTTCAAATTTAAATAAATAAAATTTTCATTTTGTAATCCTACATTCTTAGTTATTCCTCCTAATCAAGTCTGTGGTTTATTTTCTATATCCAATATCAGGGAGATTTTTCCATCCCTTAGGTTTCTATTTAAATTTGAAGCAAAATTCTGTAATTCAACTATCTACAATGTGCTTACGTTCATTAGTGTTGCCAGCTTTGTGTAGAGCTGTAAATGAGTTGATCCAAAAATCGAACATTTACACTTCCCTATCTCCAGAGAAAAAAGGATAGAGGAATAAATATGTGAAGTTGAACCTTCCACAATACAATTTTAAGTTGGTGGAAGAGAGGAGGAAATTCAGCACTGGTTACTGTTCAGACAATCTGAGTGAAACTATGAATCAGTAGTATGATACACACTTCATGCAAGTTCTATAAAACAATCCTGATATTGTGTTGTTTCATACATGCTGTAAATGTAAGTTTCTTTACTTAGTCGGGGAAACTTTTTGTCCAAGTGCCTTTAGCTCAAGTATAGATACTTAATGAAAGGTTCCACAACAATTTCCAGTAAGATTGAATGTTTTAAGTTTTAAATGAATATCCAATAGCGCGTAAAAAAGTAGCGTTCCATTTTTACCTCTGTCCCTCTTTTTTCAAGATGTGGCCTCAAAGGGTAACCAATTTTTGTCATTTTACTAGTATGTTGCTTCAATAGCCCCTCGTAACGCGTTTCCCACAGAAAAACATTTAACATGTTAATTTGCCCAAAAAAATGAGGAAGTGGTTAATAACTTCATGAAATATTATTTTAGCATTGTATCATCACAAAGATTGCTGGAATGTAATGCTGCATATCGACGGCGTAAGTCTGCAACCAAGTATCTCGTTTGCGGTGTTTGAAAATCTCCGTTTCTATATTATTATTTGAAAGGAGATCAAATTGACATCATTTCTTGAAGTTTTTGCAGAATTTTTTCGCACAGAGAAGAAAAATCAAGGCAGTTTTAAAGAATTGCTGTTGAGTAGTTAAAAAAATGTTAGAGAAAATGAAGTATGACAGGAAGTCTGCGACATCACAACCGAGATACATGGTTGCAGACTTACACCGTCGATATGTTGCACCGACGATTTCCATTTCAGCTTATGAGATCAAAAACGAAATCCTCGAAATTCGAATGAGTCGTAAAGCACCATTACAGCGTCGCAAAATGGTGCAAATTGTGAAAATATTTGCGGTAAAAATCTGCAGAATTGACATCTGCGATGCCTCTGTAGAAATGTTCTTGGTGGCAGAGCTGGACCATTTGGCAAAGCTGCCGTGATTCAACACAGCTCATCGAAACTCGACGGATTTCATGATGAACTTGATCGTAGATGCAACGTAGAAAGCCCTTGAGAACTAACAATCGCAACCGATGTGCGTAAGAAAACCAGAGCGCCTGCAATGTTTAGTGTATGCAACACGGACATCCCGAGAACACGAATAGTTGCATCCAGACTTAGCCATTGAGAAAGCCGGAGCGACTTCAATTTTTTGCGTTCTTGATAACAAAATGTGTCACTCATTGCACTCGTAAGTTGTCGTTGGACGGAGATAGGGCGGGCGGTTTGAGTATTTAATTTTTGAAAAAAAAGCATTAAGTAGATTAATGATAGACATATAAATAAAATTGAGGCTTTTCATGCGGCAATCACTTGATCGGCAATTAGGTACACACTTAAAACTTCTTCTGAATCTTCTCATTTTATTTACTTCATGTAAATATCGCATCCTATTAATTATTGACCTACCATATTCCGCATGCGGCAGCGTTGCTAGGCAGTGCAATTTGCGGGACCGTTATCGGCACGAACACGAGCGGAATCACTACTTATTGTGGGATCAACGATATTTTTAGGGTGACGAGTTTTCGTGGATCTCGAAATTCTCGAATATTTCAGATACTTGTTTTAAACATAAAAATCCGCGACTTTTCTCCGGCTTATCAGTGTTCTTTGGCATGGTTTCTTTTAAAAAGCCATTCTGAGCACGAGGTGCAAATTGCGGCTATCAATGCTATCATAGGTCGTGATTTGCGGGATTGAAATCCGCGCACTGGAAAAAAAACACATTGGATCTAGAGCCCAGACTCTTAAAAACATCGACAAGAAAAAGTACTCTTGATTCAATCAGAGTCTAGCTTGAATAAACAACCAAGCCTCTTAATTTCAGCGGATTTCGTTTTGATTCAAGCAAAAATCCGATTGAATCTAGAGTATTTTTTCTTGTCAATGTTTTCAAGAGTCTGGACTCTAGATCCAATGTATTTTTTTTTTCCAGTGCGATGCCTTTGTGCAAATATTTTTGGCGGATGATTCGCGGAAATGTGCACCATTCCGCAATGCTGGCAAGGTGTCTGTACAAGATTCATCCGAATTTCGAGGTTTACCCATATGTACATGCATTATAGACGACACCACTACACTGGAAAAAAAAACACATTGGATCTAGAGTCCAGACTCCTAAAAACATCGACAAGAAAAAATACTCTTAATTCAATCAGATTTAAGCTTAAATCAAGAACCAAGCCTCTTAATTTGAGCGGATTTCCTTTTGATTTAAGCTTAAATCTGATTGAATTAAGAGTATTTTTTCTTGTCGATGTTTTCAAGAGTCTGGACTCTAGATCCAATGTGTTTTTTTTTTCAGTGTAGAGCCATCGATTGATCGCAGCGGCAAGTTGTGCCGGGGAAAGTCAGAGTGCCTGCAATTTTGAGCGTATGCAACTTTGACATCCGGAGAACACGAATAGTTTCATCCTGACCCGGCCATTAAAAAAGCCGGAGCTCCTTCAATCGTTTCAGCTTGTGATGGTCAACTATGTCACTCACTGCATTCGTATATCGTCCTTGCACGAAAGTAGCTGTTAGGTTGAGTATTTGATCAAATTGAAAAAAAAAGTAACGAGTCACTAAAATGTAGTTTCTCATTTTGTTCTTATCTACCTTGAAAAACTCATGTCATGGTGTGTTAATATTGAAAAAATATTGGCTAATGGTTCCATGTATCATGAGTGTGTAGGAGAGTTTTGCGAAGTGAAAGCTAGGAGGTAGGTCAAAAAAGTTAGACTCCTCAATAAGTATATCTCTGTTAGGTCTTTCTACGCAGAACGTACTAACTACTACATGCATACAACAAGAAGAAGCTGGATTATCTGAGGACAATTGGCTACAATTTTCTACTGAAGAGCTTTAACTCATGGAAAGTAAATAAAAATGACTATCAAGAACCTCGCACACGAACTTTGTTAAAAACTTTTTAAAAAGGTAAAGACACTCACGTGCGCGTCAATTTTGACGAAAAATTGACGTGCACATGAGTGTCTTTACTATTTTAAAAAGTTTTTGCTTAAAGGTGAGAATTTCTGGTATTAACGTTTAATGGTATATAGTACACTCACACTGACCTCTTTTTCAAGTGACTCTAGTCAAAAATATGTGTTAGATGAGTCAAGTGAAACTATTAGATGCAGTAAGTACGGAAAAGTTGAACACCTACCACAGTGCACGCACAGTGTCCTAACGTCATGGGGCTCATTGCGACAAGTGCACTTTAAATTCAGTCTTCGCACTTAAAATTAGAAAGACGCGCGGCACCAATCAGACGTTAAAGAAGTTTTCATGCAATTGGCCTTTTGCAGTCCTGCTAATACGCTACTTTTTGCTCAAATAAAATTCCTCAAGATATAAAATGTGTGGTTTCAAAAAGAAAAAAAATTGCAGGTTATGACTAAAAATTTAGGCTTCGGCCTAATTGGGCTGTAAATAAATTGTAGGATTCGGAGAACACTGAGCTATGATCGTCTACAGTTTTGTTCTTCGATAAGGACTCAAAGGTTCGTTAAAACACCCACGGCTTCGCGTCGCTTGATGCCACGAGTTTAAAACAAATCTGAGCGCCTTCAAATCATCGTGTATGCAACACGGACGACTACCGAGCAGTAATAGTCGTATTTCTGAATCCCAGGCGCTATTATCATCGCACACGGCCTCAACGGAACGAACAAGCAGCGATTCGAGCCGCTTGGTAGTTGTGATAAGATTTACACAATGAGCTGAACCTCAAAGAGGTGGAAGGGGGAGGGGGCGGTATGCCTTTGAGGCTTCACCCTGATCAAATGTCAGGCCCACGCTCTAAAGTTTGAAAAGTTCGACTTGCCGCTCACCTCATCGCTGTTGTACTCCTTGTAAATGCCGACAAATGAGTTCACACATCCAGAAAACCACCTTAAACCCAAAGTATGTCAAAGTGTTAATTTTCCCAGAGTTTGATGCTAACGAACCTTCATTATTTTAACATTTTCATCATGCATAGCTGAAGTATGGGAGTTCGAGTCTTGATAAAAGCATTTTCTATTAAGCCGGTTTTTTTTTTTTTTTTTTTTTTTTTTTTTTTTTTTTTTTTTTATCATAAGCAATGCATCTATACCTGGACAGGGCCAGATTTACCTACTTGCCGCCCATGGGCCGCCTGTATTTTGCCGCCCCCTTCTCATTCGTTTTGAAACATCAATAAAAACCTTCAGGTGAGCATGCCGGAGGGGGAGGGGTGCATAAGACGCGTTTACCTACTCATATTGGATACATTTTTTGCGAAAGCCCCGTCAACACTACTGGTAAAATTTCACGGAACTTTGCGCGAAAGTTAAGTTCCGTTAACCTACCTCTGTGTGGATAAGGTCCTCCATTTATAAGAAATGAATCAAAAAATTATGAGAGAACAAACATAAATGTGGTTGAATAATTTTAACTTATTCCGCCGCCGCTGCGCCTGCGCCGCGATGATAGAACTGTGTTTGGCGCAATGCGTGAAGTATTCATGCAGTCTTGTAGGCGCTATGCGTTTCACGAAAACTGCTCCTGACCGCACTGTGTTTGACGCAATGGGTGAAGTATTCATGCAGTCTTGTAGGCGCTATGCGTTTCACGAAAACTGCTCCTGACCGCACTGTGTTTGACGCAATGGGTGAAGTATTCATGCAGTCTTGTAGGCGCTAATGTGTGTTACATGCCGACCGCCGCGCCGCGGGCTTGTCCTTTTCTTTTCAAGTCCTCGTCATCATTCCTCTCTGCGCTGAGCTCTAGACCAAAATGCATGTTTAGTACGTCTCTTAACTCGACTAATTAAAGATTCTGTCTCTTTGTATCACCGAAAAACGAAATAATTCAAAAAAACAGGAAAGAGAGATTTTGTCCCCTTTTTTCATCGGTAATTTTTTTTTCTGAATCCGATTTTTTTTATACCTACATTCAAAAAAATTGCAAAATTTGCCGCCATGGGCCGCGGCCCATGTGGCCTCCCCCTTAATCCGGCTCTGTACCTGGATTGCATTTTGCAAAAAGGAACCAAGAGCATTGAAATGTTGCTGTAATTGTGGAACTTCTTTTGTCCAGGAAGATAGACCTGATCATCTATAAACACTTTCTATTTCATGCGCTAAAAACTGTAAATTTAAGACAATAATTATCGTGTATCATTAATATGAACTTCGAAGGATTCAGACTTTCAGCGATTCTACCTTTTTCTATTTCACTCGAGACGTTGCCAGATTGAGCGATAAATGTAAATATTTTACATGGATTTGAATTGAGAAAAGTGCTAAAAAAGCAACTTATCTGGCAACAATAGAGTCCGGGAGGGACGAGAGACTGCCTTCCTGGGAAAACCCATGATTTAGCCGGAAATGTCATTGAAACAACTGATTCCGATTGAAGCATCAATTGTATACTAGGGGAAAGCTATTGTAAAATAATAATTGTAAATGGATACTGGTGCTACAGAAAGGGAAAAAGGAAAGGAAAAGGAAATGAAATGAGGATATGATTATACTAATATGTAATCAGAGAGAATAAAACAAAAACATCTGAGAAATTGATATGCGATGAAAGTATAAAAAAAACACGAGTGGGCTCATTGCGATTCGGAACTTGAACTTTACTATCGTTGAGCAGTTTTTAGACCCTTACGCCACCGATAATCTTCTTAAGCGGTAAAGATGAACATTTGCTACTTTAGCAAGTCAAATCGCGGATGGAGATCCATGGATTGTCTTTTTCCGCCACCCGATGGGATGACGTCCCAGTCAAATGCGTTTTTGAAGAAATGATCGATCCCCATCATCGCTTCATCTCCACACATCAATTCATGTGCAAATGATGGCACGCACCGGCAACAAGGTTCCATGACGAAATCATTTTTGTCTCCAGAATCTCCAAAATGTATACATCTTAGTGATTAAATGTACGATCACTGAGAAAAATGACTCGCGGAGCGAGCCGACTGCCGAATGTCACTCGCGTAGCGAGTGATCGGGGGTCCAGGGGGCGCAGCCCCTTGGCTGGCGGCTAGTATTCCATATATTTGCATGATTACAGTAGTTTTATTGCCAAGGGTGGAGTTGCACAATCTTAGCAACATGGCAATGCTCCTGGTTCCTTTTGGCAAAATGCAATCCACCTATCATTGCTTAAAATTTGCACCAGGCGTCGGAGGTTTTCATGAAATGAATAGGTCAAAGTCACCTGTCAGAGGAATGCAATTACATTGCTCTGTTGCAAAGTTCCACCCGTTGCTGTTCGACAACTTATTCTTAAATTTATTCAAGAATTCATTTCGACGCAATATTTTCGTCAAAATGATAAAAAAGAGCCTCCAATAAAGAAGCATTTCATAAAGAGCCCGGGGGAATCAATTTAAATGTGGTTGAAACGAAACCTCGAAACGAGAAAATTCTCAGATTTAATTTTCCGCTGCGGAATTAATACCTGGTTTTTGCGATATGGGAATGCAAAGTGTACATTTTTACCAAGTACGCTTGCGTTTTTAAACGTAGATAAAATTTGCGATGCTGATTCACTAAAACCAACTTTGAACTCAAACTAAAACTTTCAATTTAGGCTCATCACGAGAGGGTTTTATTTCAGCCGCAATCTGGTGCAATCTCCAGGTTTGCTGAGAAAACACCTTGGGATAGGGGCAACAAAAGACCTTTTCATGGAATGCACCTTACAAAAAAATTAGAAGAAAATTTGCAACCGTTCTTAATTAATAAATTATTATACTTTCAATCAATAATTTGAAGTAAAACTTTGCAAGTTTGCAATTCAACTCAGCCTCTTTGAATGACGTTGATTAATTTCCCATATGAAAATCATACATATCAAAGTTCATTCGTCAAAAGTACAGGGCAATACATACAAGCATTAAAATTATTTATGCTTGAAGCTAATTCGATTCTCCTGCCCTGATTACATGATGGCAAAAAAAAAATACTCGGGAAGTCATTATTAGATTAAAAGATATGAACATGAAGTTGGAAAAAAATGTTCCGAGCCAGAAAAATGAATAGGCATAAAAGACATGACAAACATATGCAAAAAAAAGAGACCTATCTCACAGGCATATTAAGAAAATAAAAAACACTTAATTCATCTAGTCTTGACGATTAGTGATAAGAATTACGCACTGAGAGAATTGAGAATAGGCTTTACTCACAGATTCCACCGGTGATTGTTCCTTCGAAGACCCCCGTGCTATTTTAAGTATTATCGTTTATTATCGTTTCGAACCGATTAAGTTGTTTTTCGTTACTTTTTCTCTGATATGTTATGCGTCCTGAAGTAGGTACATTGATTCGATAATGAGTTGGAAATGCACGAAAATGACCCGAATTCCGAACCAGAGGCACGAGACCGCGTGAACGCACCTTAATTATAGATGATCGGTTGCCGCTCGACTTTGTTTATACTATGAATCTCCACAGCGCTAGGCTATCACCGCTTGGCAACATGGGTTCAAGGCCAGCAAATGAAAAGATTGGGCCGGCAATTAGTTCTAAAAACAAGGAGATGAGCTTGTTTCACTTCCAAACGCATTCGGCATTCCCATCCAATTCTTTAAATGCCCTTTTCCTGTCTCAGTTCAGCTCTCATCGTCCTCAACGCGGTAACTTACGCTTGATAGTCTCCAACTACATTCGAAGTTCATTTGTATCAGACTTGACTCCGCTTCGGTTTCACGGTCGAAAGAGAGTTTGCAGATCGTTCAGCAGAATTACGTGTCCGCTTTATCGGTCCACACGTGACGTCATGTCTCTGCACCAGTGGCGATTCTGGAGACTTGGCAACGACCCCGCCGCCCCCCTGATTTAAATGTAAATAATCGATTCTTGGTGAACCAGCTTGCCACATCTCTGCCGTGCTGAGGAAGAACGCCGTGTAAACACTCGAGAGTTGCCAAATTTCCGTGGATAAAATGCCTACTTTTTAGAAAAGTTATGAATATTTTTCCTTGAAATTTTCAGATACTTTAGATCGAATTGCAAACAAAATTATCTGAGACATTGGCAGAAAAATATTCAAAAATTTTCCTGAAGATTAGTGATTTGCGAGAGGAAATTTGGCAACGCCTGAAGGTTTATATGGCGCTTTTCCTTATCACGGCAGATCTAAAGTCGATAATCTCAATGGATTTACATGGAGGAAAGCAGTTTTGCCAACTTGCAAAATCGCCACTGCTCTGTACCACGTCGCTCAGTGGATCGAGTCAATTAGAGAGGTTGGACGTCCGATTTTTTACTAAAAATGCAAATTTTGATGTTTGTTTCGTCACATTTCAAATTTTCAGGAATGCTGCCAGTAGAAAATTTCACGAGGAAACCAATGGTATCACCTTTGGAACGTCAAAGTATTGTATAAACGGAGTTATAAGCGTTTAAAGTTTCCAAATTTTGTCCGACCTCTCCTGATGACTTGATCCACTGTGCGTCAGTCAAAAAGAGACACTCGGGGTCGATTGGTGAGAGAGGGCACTCATGAAGGAAATGTGAGCACGCAGTGCCACAGAGTCCTCTAGTATTATGAAATTACCTTAGTAATACTAAGACCGTAAATTTTATACACTCAGTATACTGGCGTAAAAATGCATCGAAATTATGTAAAATTTACAGGTTGGTCGGCAAATAGCAGTTTTTGAGCAAAGGAAATAGGTTAGAAGTTAGACAATTTTTTTCCTATTGGAGTATCCAGCGCAATCAACCGTGACGTAAGGTTTAAATAATTTCCGTAAATTTTTACGAACGTAAAAATGCTCAGAAATTGAAATTGGGTGTTTCTGTAAGGTGAAATTTAAACTTGGAACACTGCTGTTAACTTGTTTAAATCACCATCAAACCGTTTTTGACTTTCATCAGCCAACAATACCTACCGGAAAAGTTGCTTTTAAAAAAGCGCTATATCACTAAGTCAAATCCGTTAAAATGTCGACTCAATTAAGGGCGTCACACTGCACATTCAACTCCACAAGATCCTCCTGACATTAATATTTTTACATTCATTATGCGTGTGTGTGAGTGTAATGAGAGGGTTTTTCACACTCATACGTGGCGTGCGATATTACCGTTTTTTGGCAATGAAACGATTTATTTCATTAAATATGCACCCATTACAAAGATTAAATTGCTCTTTCAAAGTTAAGATTAGGTAAAGATGCTGGACCTCTACTTTTAACTCGCATAATATTATACTAAATTTATTCTCTGACTCTTAACCTCTTTTATTGTCTTGAGGGTTCCGCACCCAACTCATCCTTTCTATGATACTTTCAGTAAGTTAATTGGTGCAGGAATCCAACAAAATGTGTACAGAGTCCAAGCTATAATATTCAGAGGACGATGTCGTAGGGTTGCATAGTCATTCATCTGAAGGAAATTTATGTACGCGCGTCAGAAAGTGAACAATTACATGGCTTAACATACTCAGCGTGTTCAAGCGCGTTCTACCACATTCTACGATACGCATCGTCGTGTGTAGAGTGTAGATTCATACTGAAAAACGTTAGAATTAGTTTCATATTTGATCTATAAATTTTCGTTTTTTTCTTAGCATTCGTGAATTTTTTGAAAATTACAGTTTTGCTCTATCGGTATAGTATTCGCTGAGAAACAAATTAATGGCGACACTTATACTTTTTGGGAGACCCTCGTATTTTATCAGGGAGACTTAGCGACGTTCGAATGTTCATACGACATCGGGGAAAAAGTGTAAGAGGGCATCCCTAAGATTGTGGCACAACATCAATTTCTTGGATGATATGGGCATTTCCAATTAACTGTAGTAGTACTGCGACTCGAGTTGGGGTAGTACCGCAACATGTTAGTTTGTGACCTAATTAATTGGGCTGCTACCAGAACTAAGTGGGGCACTACCACAATTAATTGGAAGTGTCTAAGTTGGGTCTTAACCCCTTCCTCTTTTTTTCATGGATGCTTTCCCCTTACACGGCAGCACACAAGTCGCTAGTGTATGTATGAAAATTCAGTGGCGTGGCGTGATTTGCGATACGTCGATTGATATGCCATTTAAACCTAGGGAAAAGGATCGATAAGCAGGGTGTTTGCAACGAACACCGTAGAGATCGATTCTTTACCTCAGCTTCAAATAGGGAAATATTGGTAATCGATCGTTCACGCCTCGCCACTGTAAAAATTCACCTCCAACATTTTTTTGGTTAGGCAGAGATACACAGGGTGCTTGCAACGAACACCTTAGGGTGATTCGATGGACGCCATAATTTGTGTCAGAACGGCATGCGATATATCGCATCAATTAGTTCCATTTTTTCAGCTACTCGTCATTTTTCTACAATTTTGAGATCGCAATTCTGCTGTCAGGAGACTACAACAATCACTTACCAATTTTAACAAAGAAATTCAACGTAATAAAGGCGTGGTTTTTTTAGAGAGAAAACATCGCATTCGATACCGATATCGAAACTGCACTCGAATGCGATATTTTCTCTCTAAAAAAACCACGCCTTTATTACGTTGAATTTCTTTGTTAAAATTGGTAAGCGAGTGCTTTAGTCTCCTGACAACAGAATTGCGATCTCAAAATTGGAGAAAATTGACGAGTAGCTGAAAAAATGGAACCAATTGATGCGATATATCGCATGCCGTTCTGACACAAAATATGGCGTCCATCGAATCACCTTAATAATCGATTCTTCATCATAGCTTCAAACAGGAAAATATCGATAATCGATCATTCACGACTCGCAACTCTAAAAATTCACCTCCAACATATTTTGGTGAGGCAGAGAGCTCCCCCAGTGAGTAAATCGGAAATCGGTCGGTATTACAACCACCATGGTAAAAATTGGCGACAAAAGTTGCGTTTCAAAATACCATAGGAATTCTCATAGCCGGCTAAAGAAGGCTATAGAAAATCATATAGCTGGCTGTAAAATGCGGAGAAAATCGTACGGCCGGGCTATACGAAGCGATAAAAAATCATGCAGCCGGGCTATAGTTCCTATCGCCGGGCTTTACACTTTATCGCCTGGCTGTTGCTTTTTCGCCATCGATTATAAAAGGCTATAAGAAATTGTGTAGAAATTCGTGTGCTTTGTAAATTATTAAGTTTGATACGGGACCACCTTAATATTTACAAAACACACGCTATATTTTCCTTTAATAAATATTTTTTTTTCATCAATTATAACGAGAATAATCCATACAGGATGTGCAAAAATTTCAAAATCATGAGTTGAATAATGCTGACTCCGCCAGATTAAATATTAGAGCCCAACACAAAGCGACGCACTGGCGCCTACAAACCTAACAGGGATACTTCACGCGTTGCGCAATGCGTAAAGTATCCCTGTTAGGTTTGTAGGCGCCAAGGCGAGTTCCGCGCTAGCTGCCCGCCTGCCGCGCCGCAGCGTGCCACGGCGCTTGAAGCAACTATTCCACACCAGAGGTATTGCCAGTATCATACGAAACTGAAGGCGCTCCAATATATTAGGAATGGCAGGCATCCATCCAAAGTACGGAGCTTTCCTCGCAAAATAAACCAAGATACTACGGCCCGAAGAGAGAGCAGTGGTCCAAAAACTCACTAAGTCCTAACATCCGTAATTAGTGACGTTTAGCATACACTTTATCGCCTGGCTGTGAGTTGCTTAGTCGCCATCGGCTTTAAAAGGGTATAAGAAATTGTGTAGCCGGCTATAGAAGCTATTGGAAATCTTACAGCCGGCCGTAGGTCTATGGTATTTGGGAACCCAGATTCTACTGCCAATTTTTACCAGGGCAAACAAGTCCAAACGCCTGATGAGCCGTGTAAAATACGCACTTTTATGGAACTCATGGCTCATGACTTGCCAGGTTTTCACATCAAACGATTCATAAGCGAAAAACGTCACCACCGAAATTTTTTTTGGTAAGGCAGAGAGCTCCTCCGGTGAATAAATCGGTCGATGCTACAACCAAATAAGTCCAAACGCCTAATGAGCCGTGTAAAATACGCATTTTTATAGAACTCAGGGCTCATGACGAAATAAACTTGCTAGGTTTTTACATCAACCGATTAACCAGCGAAAAACGTCACAGTCTCAACCTCTTTCCGCTCGGAGTGAATCGATCGATGCTACAACCAAACAAGTCCAAAACACCTGATGAGCCGTCTAAAACAGGCACTTTTATGGAACTCAAGGCTCATGACGAAATAGACTTGCTAGGTTTTTACATCAACCGATTACTAGCGAAAAACGTCACCGTCTCAACCTCTTTCCGCTCGGAGTAAATCGATCGATGTTACAACCAAACAAGTCCAAAACACCTGATGAGCCGTGCAAAATACCCACTTTTATGGAACTCATGGCTCATGACTTGCTACGTTTTTACACCAACCGATTTATTAGCGAAAAACGTCACCATCTCTACCTCGCTCGCTCGGAGCAAAGCGCGGCTGTAAATCAAAAAAATCTCTTCGACGGGAAAGCTTTTAGACTGACGTGGCCGAAAATCTTGCCGGAGCTAGGCCCGAGCCGCGTGCCCCATTTCCCACCCTCCGGCCTACATCTCGCACCCCCCCGGCGGTGACTCCCGTGGCCCAGTGCGGTGTCGCGTCGCGCGGTCTGGCCTACCTCCTCTCCGGAGTGTGCGAGCGCGCTCGGCTGCTCTGCCTTTACCTCTCCGCCTTTGCCTCTGCCTTTGCGCAGATCCTTTTTCGATCAATAAGTACGCGCGAGTGGCGAGCCGCGCCGCGGCGAACGAGCGGCAGTCGGCCACGCGAGATTCCCCCGCGATCAGTCCCCGCGCAGTTTGCGGCTCCGCGGTCCTCGGTTCGAGCCCCAGTGCGTATCGCGGATCCAGCCGCACCGCTAGCCTCCCGAGATTAGAACTCTCTCCTCACGCTCCGGTAAAATGCACGAAATCACGAGGAGATTTTATGATTTTGACGTGTTTGAGCGTCGGGTGCAGAAAGGGCATTTCTTGGTTACGCTGTTTTAAAATCTCCACTGGTAATTTAAATTTTAGAAAGTAAACACTGGAAAAAAAAAACACATTGGATCTAGAGTCCAGACTCTTGAAAAAATCGACAAGGAAAAGGACTCTTGATTCAATCAGATTTAAGCTTAAATCAAGAACCAAGCCTCTTAATAAAAGCGGATTTTCTTCTGATTTAAGCTTAAATCTGATTGAATCAAGAGTCCTTTTTCTTGTCAATGTTTTCAAGAGTCTGGACTCTAGATCCAATGTGTTTTTTTTTTTTCCAGTGAACTGTTGCTCAATGAGAGGTGATCGCCATAATTTGCAATTTGCTCGGATAATGTATCGCAATTTTATCGACGTCGATTAATTGCCATGTTATCGGATAAAAAATTGCGATTTTATCGCATAAATTTGCAATAAATTGCGATTTTATCGACGGCAATCCATCGAACGAAAAATCGTGATAAATTGAGATAAAATTTCGATTTTATCGAACGTGATTTTATAGAGATAAAATTGCGAAAAGATTAGGGATGGTCAAATGTTGAGGGTCCCAGCGATTTCATCGTCTTAATATCGTAAAAAATCGCAACTGGATTTCAAAATCTCGCGATTTTTGCGTTGAAAAATGCTACTTGGGTGGGTGGTTTTTTTGAAATTTTAAGTTTTCAGCATTGTAAAATCATAAAGAGAATTCCGTAAATGCTTTAACGAATTCCATGCGTTTGCTTTAATCATAATGGATGAACCATTAACGGAGATCCTGAGACACCGCGACCAAGAAATGCCTTTTCTGCACTCAGCGCTCAGCGCTGCATTTTTATGTTAAAAGAAACCATGTGGAAATGAATGAAATCGAAAGGAACTTTGATACATGCGAATCCTATGCATATATTTATTTTTGATTTCATTCATTTTTAAATAGTTTCTTCTAGCATAAATGCGTCCATTTGTCGTTGATGAACCTACCGGACAGGATTAGTGAAAAACCTCATAGTGTATCTCACTCTTAATCGTTTAAATTGTCCGAGAGGAAAGAATTTAACTTCATTCTGAAATTGAAAATTTTTGATAGTAATATAATGAAAGTTTTTGGTCAGGACCACCCCTAAGTTTCTAATTAAGAACAAACTTTGTAAGTACAAATTTGACAACGCCGAAATGCAGTTATGTTCTTTCTTCTCAGAAACGACGATTGACACCAAACAACCGTAGTGATTTGAATTTGGAGAAGAAACTACTCTTTTTGCGGAGTGACTCTCACTTTTCAAGAATGGATTTCACTCTGCATTAGAGTAAAATTAAGTAATGTCACTGAATAGGTCTATAACTTAATTCTATTTCCATCGAGAGATTATGTCACAAACCGTTTTCTTTTCTTATTCGAAGGGGAGGGGGTATCTTACAGCTTAATCTTATCTTAGTACAAGCTGGTGGATTTTTGCATGGGTTTGATATTGATGCTTTTTGTCATTTCTATTTCTCCTCCGAAATAAAAGATTTTTACACAAACAGGGAAGGAAAAAAGATTTTACTTTTCGTTTCTCGCGAAAAAGCGAGCATAAAAAGCGACCATGAGGGTGTAAAAGTAAGCATTTGCTCCTTAATTTATTCAACACTTAAACGGTCACGTGTATTCGTCACCACACAAAGGACCAACCTTCAAAAATAAAAAGAGTGATCAATTATGAAAAAGCACTTCTCAGATAAAGAACTCTTCTTTTTCTCTCAAACTATAAGGGTTACAAAAAATCAAGCCTTTGTGACGATCAGCTCAATATAAATTAAAGTCAAAATATTAAATTTAAAACTATCGAGCGATAAAACTTCCTCTATCCTAATTTCGACCACCCTTAATTTTTCAATTCAGTGAAACCACCCATGGTCCGTAAGAAGTGTTGTCGGGAAATTAGATTGCGTGTGTGTGTTGAACTGTGACGTCAACGTGTGATGGGAGGCATGATCGAAAGGCTGCTCATTGTATCGCGCCGAACGTGGAAGTTTTTCTAACATTGTTGAAACCGGACCCAAGTTCCGTCGTATTAAGCTCACCGTCATCCAGTGGAAACTAACTCGACAAGAACAACGTAAGTTCAGAGCATTCACTATTCACTTTTATCTTTTTTTCATTCGGATTTTATATCGGATTGGTTACGCATTGATGTTGCCCTATCGTTGCTCCTCTGACATAACTTCATTTGAACTAACTTTGCAATTTGGACCTATAGATTCTAGCCCGGTTTAAAAACAACGTGTGTGCCATTAGTTTCCCCATGCACATAAGTGTTTTTCCAGAAGAACCAGAATTTATAGTTCCAAATTGCAAAATGTGATTCATTGTATACATGAGCCCTGGAATACATGGAGTTATATAGAAAGCAGGGCTCACGTTGAAATCGAGATACGCTCTAACGTCAGAGGAGCGATGCACAATGGAACGAGTCAACTGGGAAAGTCGGACAAAATTTGGAAACTTTAAAAGCTTACCCGTTCATTCAAAACTTTAAGGTTTTAAAAGTGGTTCCATTGGTTTCTTCGTGAACTTTTCTCTTGGACCACCCCTCAAAAGTTAAAATATGATGGAATAAACATCTAAATTTGCAGTTTTAGTCAAAAATTTCATGTCCGACCTCCCTGAATGCCCAGATCCACTGTGCGACGTCATAAGCAATAGTCGCTGCAATTTACGAGTTCATGGACCGCAATAGCGATCATGCATGGCATAGGGATTTGCGATTTAAGCACTTTTCACAAGAAACATGATGGCGTCGTTGATTTTTTCTGAAAACAACTCCAAACCTAAAAGAAAAAGAAACTCTTAAAGTTGAGGCTGTAATTGAAGGGATCTCCTACATTATGGTGAGGTTCATCCTTTTCTCTATATCCAGTCAAACGCTCTGTGCACAAATATAGGGTTGTAGACAGCAAATACACGGTTGCTGTGAATGCAGCCTTGTAGTCCACATACAAAATGGCAACACTTCTAGTGTATTTGCCTCTTTTCCGTATCTGTGCATGGAGACTTTGACTAGATGTAGAGATGGCCTCTCGTCATAACGTAATGCGATTTCCTCCTTTGCGGTCATGGGCGGATCCAGCAAATTGTCAAGATAGTTTTTTCTCCATTTGAACCTATGGAAATGTATCGATTCTTGAAGGGGCCAGGTGTTCCGACAAGAATCGATCATTTAACATATATTTAAATGGAGGAAACCCTGTGTTGCCAAATTGCTGGATCCGCCCCTGTTTGCGGCCTTAACTTTAAGAGCTTTTTTTGAGCTTCGAAGTTTGTTTTTGAGTAAATCAGTGGCTTGAAATTGAACGGTTGAAATATGTGACGAATTGTTTTAAGTCGTCCCCTTTGTCTAGTGCCTTAATTTCGAGTTTCGGATGCCCTACTTCTTACCTTGGGTATGGATAGTCTAATAACTGGACGCGGGACCTTAAAATCTCCGCATTATGCTGTGTGTATATCTCGTATCTAGACCTCATAAACCTGTGAGGGAGAGTTCTCTTCAGTTCTCATGGGGATCGCAGGAATCGAATTCTTGCTGAAGAATCTAAAATTGACACGACACCGTAGGGAATAAAAGACTTACGTTGAATCCATTCCCGTTTTGAAGTCTGAAGGTACACTTACTGAATCGTTTCAAGCTTTTTCCCGAATCGAAATATTTCGGATCCTTCTCAGAGCTTATGACACTTTTATACTCAAAGAGGTATGCAGTTAAGTATTTCAGTCAAAGTGGATCACCAGCTCTAACATCAATACTTCGAAATCAATTGGACGTATTTCTGCTAAACGGACAAGAGCACTGAGACCCATAAGAATATATCGACGGTGAAACTACCAAACCACGTATTTCGGTTTGCGACGTCGGAGACTTCCTGTCATTCTTTATTTTTTTAATGAAAAACTACTTAACGTCCAGTCTTGAAAATTTCTGTGATTTTTCCTCTTCGTGCGGAGAAAATTCTGTGAAAATTTCAAGGAATGATATTGATTTGGTCTACTTCAAAAAAATAAAATGCGAGCGTAGATTTTTAAACACCGCAAACGAGATACGTGGTTTGGTAGTTTCACCGTCGATATGCATAACAGGGCTCACGTCATAATGCACATAGTTTCGTTTGGCAGAAATACGTCTAGTTGGAATATGGAAACAGTACTTCTGAACTCACTTTAATGGTTTATTTTTTTAGACGATCGCTTCTCGATAATTGTCCTGTGGACTAACATTCCGGTTTTTCGAAAAGAAAATTCATAATGACTAAAATCTACAATATCTTGAGATGTTGGCAAATTGCTGATTGAAAAAATCTACCTTGAAGAATCTTCATTCTGATGAGAAAACGTTTTGCGAAAGCCATTTACAGCCCAAACTTCGCATGAACTTCAGTACAAATCTGCTCTCTCGCAGTTGAGGGCCTAGGGGAAAATTTAGATGCACGACTTTCGCACTCACTTCTAATTATAAATTATTCTAGTTCCGTGTCATTTAAATTAGAGTGAAGATTAAAAGAGGAAGAAGCGCGCGGAATGTCCGGTAAAAATATCTCTCCAATCCTTAAATTTAGGAGAGAAATATTGGTAAAAGGCGCCAAGGCACTCGCTTAGGTCGGCCAGCGAGGAAGCTCATTGCCAAGTTTAAGGTCGTTCACCGAAATTCTGAATTTTTCGTCGAGAAAACACCAAAAGAATTTTCCGACGTTCAATACAGTAGTTTACACAAACTAGTCGTTCCCAGTGTTGCACCAAACAGTGTATCTCTTTGAGGAATAAATGTGCTCATCTGAGCATTTGACCTCAGTATTGAGATTTTCAGCTTTATACTGTTTTTTAACGCACTTTGGCTAAGAAATTCCAGCGTGTAGTAATTTTCTATCTAACATCTTGGTTGAACAGGCAAGCCTTAGTGATGGTACCCATAAAATTACCAGCTCGGACTTGTTTGATTCATCACTCGTTTATGACGGATTTTCCATTTCTTACATTCACTTATGTTTCATCTGGATAAAAAGTCCCATCAATCACCAACACTACCGTGCTAAGGAAAAACGCCGTATGAACATTCGAGAGTTGTCCAATTTCCTCCGATACAATATTTATTTTTGAAAAAAGTTATGAATATTTTTCTATGAAATTTTCAGATAATGTATACTAAAGTGCGAACAAAATTATCTGAAAAATTGGAAGAAAAATATTCATAAGTTCACCAGGAAATTCGCGTTATATCCAAGGAAATTTGGCAACGCCTGGAGGTTTATACGGCGTTTACCCTTAGCACGGCAACAAACCAGCAAATTACCTACACCAAATTCGCCAAATTATAGCACAGATGTTAGGAGGTGCGAGAGGATGCATACTATCCAGCGGCGTAGGCGCGCTTAGCGATACATCGATTGATCTGCCATTTAAACCAATAGAAAAGGATCGATAAAGAATGAGGTATTCGCAACGAACACCTTAATAATCGATTCTCTATACTAAAGCTTTAAATGGAGAAATATCGATATAATCGAACATTAATCTTTGATCGGGTATACTTCGATGCGCTTTGACAGTGCACGTTTCCTCACATCTTTACCACAATCCGGTATATCTACCTTCCAAAAACTTTATATTATAAAACTATGGCATTGAGCTTCTTAGAATGTTGGTTGCGCGTGGCTCGCTGACAAGAGCGGTATATCATCATTCGCTTTGAAAGGCGATCCACTCGCGAGTCGTCGCTGCGGGTTCAATGAAATCCGGAGCGCCTTCGAGTTTGGCTGCATGCAACAATCGCAACACCTTGTTTACCCACGTTTTCATTCCCTCCCTATTGGTTTATATACCTATGCATCGATCCCGGTGACAATGCAGCAGTGTTGCCCCAAAGAGAAATCTAATACCACTAAGGTAACACTGTGATCACCNGGGGGGGGGGGGGGGGGGGTTCGCCCCGAGATCAAAAGGGACACAAATGGAGCTATGATTCATTTTCCTCCGTGTCTGGTACGGAGTAGAAAATAATATGCAGATTGTTACCACTGATATCTGAGAGAAGTTTTCTCTAAACTCAATTTTACCAAGTTCAGTCACCGTTGGAAATGACAATCTCCAATTATTTTGACTCCAGAGATTAGATCCCTTTTCATACACTCCCTCGCATATTTTCAACCCCTACCTTTTCATTTTTCTAGCCCTCACTCCAACCCTTTCTTTCTTCTACCCTAGCCCATATATACATATGAGAGGACGTCCACGAACAACGTCAGGCTTTTTTCAGATCTTTTGACCCCCTCCACCCCTCTCTTACGTCAGATATAAGTCAGGCAGAGTTGTATTCCCTCTTAGGAAGGCCGTAAGAATGAATGGAAATTATAAAGCGCCAGTGACGTCATCGGCGGCGACCGAGACTTGAAACGACGGTCGAGAATATTTAACTCATGAGCCCTGCCCACAACGCTCTTGTCACATGCCCACGGCTCATGAGTGTTGTATTCGGTTGACGCTTAGTTCCGATTGGCAGAGAATAAAATCCCGCTTTTCCATTCCCCCAAAGGGCATCACGCCTTTTTTTTCGTTTTTTCTTACGCAGCTTTCTAGACCACACCCCCATCTTTCCCACTCGTCTATAGTTGAATCAGTGAGAACGAAAACACACCAACTCGATACCTCGAAAATGATCAATTTTCATTTAAGACAGTTAATTTACATAAAGGTCATTGCAGTTAGCGCAGCTGTTCCAACTTGGACCTTAAAAGTGTCCATAAGTACTTGTCTTGAGGCAGCAAAAATCTTTTTCTTAAACTAACTTCTTCACCTACTGTGCAGTTTTATGTGTGTCTTGATTATTTTCATTTTTTTGAGTTGGTGTGTTTTCGTTCTCACTGATTCAGTTCTGTTTAGCAGAAATACAGCCAATCCATCCATGACAAGTTATCGAAGCTGAGGCATTTGAGTTCTTCACCGGAGAGAAACGCGGTCTTAGCAACATCGGACGGTGCTTACTAGGGCAGGATTTGGATTTCCTTTACGGACGGCCTCTAAGATCCCTTGGATATCTTTGAATGATACTCTTCAAATTTAAATGGCACACCC